AGTGGGGTTTAGCCGCGTCGGACATGTGGACGAATCCGTACTTTGTTTCCATTCGGAATTTCGTTTAAATGAATGAACGTACTGACGTTTGATATCCCCTACCTCGACCTGCGTCTCTCTGTTTATGGTAATAATTTTTAAATTGGATTATTTCCACGTTCTTGTTGTAATTAATTGCATGTTAATAGTTTTTATAATGAAGCTTATTTAACATTTGTGCATAAAAATGTTATTTACTAGACTTATTTAAATTATAAAGATTACACCACGCCGCTGGTGTTGAATAAATTCAAATGAGAAAGAGAGATAGGACGTAAGCTAAATCAGTTAATTGTTCAAACTTATCTTAACTGAGGCTAAATAATTTGTAAAAATTTGTAACGTTTAATTTTAAGTGATCATTTGTACTTGATAACTTTCACTAAAGCCAACAATAAAATAGGCGTAAAAGACCCCGTTTGATTCTGAACTAATTAGGGTGTGACATGTTCACCCCTCGGCTAAACGCTCGCTAAATGCCTGAGGGGATGGCTCTTTAGCATCCGACACTATTGTGCGACATCACAATCATACTAAACACACAAATCGAAATGTACAGTATACATTGCGTGCGCTATTGGAAAGCTCGTTGTGTAAGAGAGATCGCGGCGAGAGATGGATGTGTACAGTGTCGGTGGAGGCTGCTCGCGAGCTGCGGGCGGGATCATTGAGAGCGGTCGTGGAGCCGACGAGTGGGACGTTTACCCCACCGTACTGCGGTCACGCGTATTTAGCTGCCTACTCGGTGAACTTTATAATTGAAAGTACGATACTTACAAAATGAAATATGAAAGAGAATGTTCCTATTAACATAATTTTATTACGGAATTGTAGCGGATATTCTCCGATTTTCTCTCATTATAATTTTACATCACGAACAAAACAGACTGTGTTAGGAATTAAGTGAAAACGTACGAAATAGGAGATTAAAAATACCCCAAATCTTAGTGTATTTCATGACTTGTTCTTGATCCTCATCATTACAACTTGTGTTATACAGCGGCATTAAAAATTAACACCAAAAAAGATAATAACATCTAAAATATTCCATCAATATCAGTACCGAAAAAAGGCCTCCTAATATAGTTTCAAACAGTTACTAATTCTATAACTCCTAATAATTATTATAAATAATCATGCGATTGTCTTTTGATTCAATGATTGTACAAATATCAAACACAATTCAAGTCATAAAAAAAATAATAAAAAACAATAACAGCATCAAAAGCTATGACTGTGATGAAACAATACATCCCTCGGCGCGGCGGCCGCGGCGAGCGACGCTCCCGGCGTTCCCGGCGCTCCAGAATGTCCCGGATCGTACATCATCGCGGATATTTAGCGTGGGACGTGAGCCGAGGGTCCAAATTATATTATACTAAGTGATACCTCGCTGGGGTGAGCAGAGCTGTTGTGGGGCACTCGGTGACACAGGATGACGTTACAATGTTCATTTATAAGAATTAAATCACAGTGTAAACATCCGTGGTTTATTACGTTAGCGTTAGAAAAGTTCTGTTTATTGAACAGAAATACAAGAAAACAACAAAATAATCACTTCCGAGATATTGAGCAGGTTTATTGTAAAATGCATCAATTTTATGTTAATTTTTGTACAAAAATAAACGTAAATAAAACGGGGAATAAAAAAAACAAAGGTGTGAAGCCTATGTGTCCTTCCAGACTATCCTCTCCATCTTAACCAAATTTCATCGAAATCTGTTTAGCCGTTTAGGGTACAAACTCTAACATACTATCCATCTAAACTTTCACGAAAATAACATTAGTAAGATTTCTACTACTGAAAAGTAAACGAGTATTAACCAGTTTATTCAAAGTATCAGATCTTGTGTAACGGTAAAAACATAAAAGTAAATCAGTTCAGTTACTACATATAATAAACTCAAAGGGATCTTTGTATGGAGAAGAATGTCATAAATTTCGTTCTAATAAAAGTAGTGTATTGAAGATACAAAGAGACAGTAACGCAGTTGCGTGTAAGCAACACTTTGCTCCACTGAGCAGAATACTGTGGGACGGGGAGGGGGTGCAGGGGAGGGGGATGAAATCAAGTGTGAATAATGAGATTAATGGACGCGAGTGTCAGCCGTCAGCCGCTGCACCGCGTCGCGTGACGTCATCACCGTGACGGCTGCTAAGTGAACTGTCATACATTCTTAGAAAGGTTTTTTAACAAAATTCGCTTCACAAAAACATCACGTTCATAACTTTTAATTTATCAGCAAATTAAAAACCGTTAACTGTAAACTGTTAATATTATTTGTACGTAAATATTTCAAGGTAAATTATGACCTATGGGTCGATTTTTACAGGAGTAGCAAAGTAACAAAACATTTGTTTCTGTGTAATAAAGACGTATTATTTCAAAATGCATATTTTTAACAATAAATCGGTATTTAGCAAAACATATTTGAAGTAACTATCCCTTTGCACGCACTACAGTAATCCTTTAAAACGTTAAACGCGCATCGCCAAATGAGACCTCTCATTCACAAATTAAGCTCAAAAGCCAATGTACCAAACTGGGTGCAATTACCCTGCAAATGCATTTACAGTCCATCAAGGGAATTAAGACTTTATACCATCGAGTTAAGAGCTTCATAAAGGTGGAATGAACGTTGTTTTTTTTGATTCAATTCCCCGCACCGTGTCATAGCTCATTTGGCATTCGATGGCATTAATCCGTGGGGTGTGTGCCCCAGTGCGCGGGCTGTGTACACATGTGCCTCCCCCCCATCCCCCGACACCGCGCTGCACAAATGCATAATGCAATTAGTTTGTGTGCGGAGCTGTTTATTTTGAATGCGATTATTGGGGCAACTTAGACTATTGATCAATGGATTTAATTTTCTTATAATTTATTGCATCTATTTATAAAAAACGAACGAACAGCTAGCAGGTCGTTACCTAAACAAAATAGCTTTGCTTACCTTTAAGCTTGGGAGAAAGGGACGCACCAAGAGAAGATATTTGTCCTTCATCAAATACGTATTTCGATTTACTACAAAAAAACTCTCTGTATCTCTCTATACTCCACCACCAATGATTTATTTAGATACATGAATCAATAAATTTCCCTAGAAGTCATATAACAAATGGACTAATCAAACCCATCCAGCGCTGTTAAAAGTTCACAGCGTGATATACGACTCGAAGGCTGTGACCGGCTCACGCTTATTGTGCCTGTAATTCCTTCGTGTACTTAATGCAAATCCCCAGCTATCGTTATCATTTCTTTAATAGTCGTTGTAAAAACACCCTGAATATTCTAATATGCTGGTCTATTGAACACTTTAACGAACATCCTTTTGTTGGAATTTTGTAAATGTTTTCCAATAGTAATCATTGTCAATAAATAATTGGTAAACCATGCATTTGACTCTGATCTGACAGTCTTAACTGAAGAGTTAAACTGTCCAGTTTAATATGTGCTTGTGGGCAACTTTTAACTTAAGTAATTTTGAAAGCAAGTTCAGTTCTAACTGAGCCATACTATCTTCTACTTATATCAAAAATGCTTATTCAAATTATTTGTTGACAATTTATGTTGTGAATTTCTTTATCCGAGGTTTAGTTTACAACTGATTCCGCGATAAACAGATTTAGTTACAGATATCGTGGAGTAAAAAAGTCAAAGTGGGGTCCTAATGACTACACTGATAAGATAAACTATACTTTAAAATGTAGTCGACGTGCGTTAGGAGCTAGGGGAGTTGGGTGCATGTTAAATTATTTTGATTGATCGCACTATGATTTAATTTTAATGTGTTTTGATAAAATAGAGAGCTTTTATGAATGCTTAATCGCGTAACAGTTTAATGTCCTTTTTATTCTGCTGCTGAATTTTTAATCTTAATTGAAATATAATTTGCGTGCGGGAGCGGCGCAGCGCTACGCGGCATTATAGTGCAGCCCGCTGAGATGTCGAGATTATATTCGAATAATTAAATTTACTACGAAGATTGAAAAGATTAGATTTAAACATTAAGGTACTACCAACGTTACGGGATGTAACATTCACAGTGAACATTCATCATCACCAGTTCACTTTACGTCCCCACCGAGGGGCTCGGAGCCTACCCTATTCATACTGTAACAAATTATTTTAAGTTTCTTCTAAGTCTATTTTAATTTTGAAGTCTCGCTCTTTATTCTCGTATGTTTTCTAATTTAACTGAACTAATTTTCTTTAAGAAATTTGTGACTTAAAATTTGTAAACTACTTAATGCTTTAGTTGCTTATTTTTAGGGAATTATTTCCCGTATAAGTAATATGAATATTAGGAATAATTCATGCATTTCGAATCTTTGTGTCGATATCGATAAATCACATCACTAACAATTCGGTGCATCTTTTACAAAACAATTTAGTATCGTCATTTGCATGCATATTAACAGTTATCAAGTATAAATCTTCATCGGACTCGCGTCATTTATTCCGTTACAGAAGCAATCATTTTAAATATTAGAATTGACAGGTTGCTAATCATTGTGTTGTAAATTAGAAGTGGTCATCTCTTTTGTAATCCAACACGATTTTGTTTATTAGATATTAACCGTAAATTTTAAATGCATCGTTTTTATGGGAATACTAGCAGCTCGCGTGCGGCTTCATCCGCATCAAATTATAAAAACTTTATTTTATTGTTTAATTTGTCAAATTCTTAATTGTAAATGGCAAACTTGCTTTCTTAATGTTGGCATCAACTTATGGTCTGTGTTCCACGTTAGAGTTTTTATCCAAAATATTTACCCCCTATGTTTAATGGCATGAAAATATATAGCATAAAGCGTGACGTAAGTGTAGGGCTTTTTATTAAAAAACGAATTATTCAAAAACATGCTATAATTGCTGACATCTTAGGCACGAAATTTTAACAAATATTCCTAACTAAATTGTTAAATTAACCGCTTTTAAGGTGATTTTCGATAATTTTAACTCATAATTATCTTAAAAGAGGTGTGGTAAAAGTCAAAACATAAAGTGTGTAGAGCAAAGTGCCGCAGCCTCCGAGACACGTGTCGGCTCGCGTAATTAGGCTCTCCATCCCTCCCCTACCGTGCCCCGACACATCCTGCGCTTCCTACCCCCAAATCAACCCCGAACTTTTAATTAATGACTTCTAGTTTGGATTATCATAAGTCATAATAATGTTAAAACATGTGAAATGAATGGTTTTGAAATAACATTTGTAGAGATCGAAGGACCAATAAAAGCCCTCTTCCCCTTTCCACTCTTTTCGTATAATATAAGGTTGGGAAAGGAAAGTGGATTTGGCGCGGGATGGGACCCATGGGCACGGGATATGTCTCCTTTCTTTGCGTCCCCTCCACCTTAATGGGAAGCAACGCATCTGCTTTTGCTGATGTCTAAAGCTTTTGGGCGCCCTCCAGTGGCCGCTTGCTCGTTTGTCACTTTATACTACAAAAAAGGTCTGAATAAAATATCATTTTTAATATTACAAGTAATTCAAATGCCAATACTTGTATTGGCATTTGAATTACTTGTGTATAACGTCGCAAATATATATATGTATAACGTCGCAAATATATTGACAATATTGAATAAAGAACATTACGAGATAAACAAACCATAAATAACAAATATAATTTCATTTACAGAACAGAAACAAGCATTATATCAATAACGACACTCTATGACAAAGATTGAAACTCCAACCTAAATCTATCCCGCAGGCATATCGGATAATTTACTGTATTTTCGACTTTAACCCATTCACAATAAGGTTTAATTTCAATAGCAGATTGTCGAATGAATTGATGAATGTTGATTTAATTTGGACTGTAAGTGATGTGAATAGAGTTGCAAATGTAACGGGCGCGGAGGAGGGTAAGCAATCAATC